GCTTCCCGGGAACGCCACGGCCGAGTCGAGCGCGGACAGCGCCTTGCGGGAAGCTGCCAACGGGCACCGTGTCTGTGCCAAAGCCGCTAGCTACGACGCGGGGCCGTCCTTCAGCAAGGAGGCACGGCGCAAATTCTCCTGGTTATTTCTCCAGGGGAATAAGGGTAGAGACAAAACCCCATCAGTGCCCCCCATCTTCCTCACCGCTCCCTCCCATCACACGTACACCTTATAAATCAATAAATACCAATAAATCTCAATAAATCAAGCAGATCTTTTTCTCCCATGGGTTAATTAACCACGTGTTTGGTAGAAAATTCCTGTAGAAAATCCTGGACGGATTGCTTCACACCACAAATGAGAGGATACCGTGTTGCAGGAAAATGGAATATGGACTGAGAAAATAAAAATAGTTTGCGTGGAAATTTCAGAGGGGACCTGTTAGCACCTACCTGCTGCCGCCTCCTGCTCACATGAGCTCCTGGGGACAATTGCATTTGGTTAATGAGCTGCATGTTGAAAAGGTGTCTAAAATAGCTGGGATCAGCTTCATCATAGGCGTAAAAAAGGGGATTCAAGATTAACATCAAGACAGAGGCAGATTTCAGTTACTCTGATAGCATCAGCTGTGTTCTATTGAAAGGACTGATACAGTTTTCCGGAGACAAAACGGGGGCCTTGCGCTGCATCAAAATCCTCCCTGTGACACCCCCGCATCACTGACTGCCACCACAGCAGCCAGTGCTGCTCACAGCAGCAACGAGTTTCTAAGAAAACTAAGAGTGTTTTGACCATGTCATATGTCAAAACTGCAAGCACTGGAGATTTCAAACAACACGTACGAAACCCAGGAACGACTAACGCTCTCCTAACTCGAGGCACCGCATTGTTATCAGCATCTCCTCTCTGAGAGAAACACTCAGTCCCACCAACACGTTCCGTCCTGAAGGGAGGTCGCTTGTTTGCAAATACCCGGGGTTTAGTATTCGCACCGTTGAAGGGCCTCTCTAGCGCATTGCTCAGCTCCTTGGCTTGAAAGACACCATGATCCAGTGTTTGGGAAGGAGGAGATCAGGCAAATAATTCTAGTTAGAATTTTTTGTACACCTAACTGCAAAAAAAAAAAAAAATCTAGAAAATATCAACCAAATTGAAAAATTAGAAAGTGCCAACAAATGCTCTGGAAAGAGTTCCAGGGAAGCATGTAAAAAGCAGCTTTCAAACCAAATTTAAGATCTGCAGCAGTCATTTCGTCTAACGTGGCCCAAGCTGTTGCAATCAAAGAGGAAAGAGAGTTGACAAATGTCTCCAACCACAAACGCACGCGCCCGATTTTAACGTAACAGCCTTTGGTTCTGCAAGGCCTGTGACGTGCCAGCTATGGGAGCAACCTGCCCGGAGAAGCGGCCTTATTTCAGCATGTTTTATAATTAGCAATTCCACGGAAAACCTCAAGCTGAGATTGATCATCCCCCTTTTCTGACAGATGCCCGAGTAAAGCTGATCTTCCCTCTTTCAGTGCTGAGTAGAAAAACTCCGTGAGCAAACCCGTCATACCCAAACCCGTGAGCGAATGAGACCCGTCGTGTTTCCCGTTTTCTGGTAATTCATGGAGACCCTGGCCAACGTCCGGGGAGCAGAGGGGAAGGGTGGGCACGCTGGGCGCAGCGCGCTCCGATACGCTCTGGCGTTTCCCTGCGGCACACGGGAACGGGCCCGGAGGTGGCCCAGAGCACGGAGCAGAGCCTTGCACCCCACGAGGCTCCTGCTGCCACAGAGAGGCACCTTTGGTCTCCGTCCTGTGAGCAAAGCACCAA